CCAGGCATGGAAGTGAGGCTGACCGGTCTTTTCAATTATCTTGAACATACAGGGATTTCAGGATAAACTTACTTCAAATCACACTTTCTGAGTATAATTTGGTTAAAATTTGTGACTTTTTTTCTTTTTAAAGGAGCAAACCTATTTTAGTGAAAATATTACAGTGTAAGTAGAAGAAGGTTCACCAATAAATGTTTTCATTTTTACCTTTTACTAGACCATGAATGGCTAGGTTTTAGTAGTTCAGGTTGATAGAACATGCATTTTTGTTTTATAGAAACATACCTTTCATAAATCTGGTGACTTAAAGTATAGGTACTTAAATGCTTCTTGTATTGTAAGGCCAGTTTTGCCCGTGTATCCTTTTTGTTCTCCCACATCCTCTGGGCTTTCAGTTTCAGTTGGTGCTTACCATCAGGATTTTGAGCTGGAAGTCACTGGTATTCTTAGCACAGGCAAATCTTGCCACATCTACCAAAGCAGAAGAGGTTAATAACAATAACCTCAGTCTGGAACTAGAATAAATGAGAGACATAAAATTCAATTATGAAGAGCCTAAGTCAGGTAGGGTGGGAAGTCCAGGCTGCAGTCATTTGAAGGCTATACCTAAAAGTGACTCCTAGCAGAAAACAGAGCAGATTTCAAACACCTCTGGTTTTTTTGTGGAGGTGCACAGCATGCAAAGTATGTAGCTTAGCATGGCCTGTTGATAGGACAACCTCTGCTTATGTCTGTGGCAAATCATTGCCTTCTAAGAACTGTAGATTTTCCTTGGTAGCCCCTGGTAACAGAACACAGTACCTCTGAGCTGCAGTACTGGCTATCATGGGCTCTGTTGTCTGCACAGACAATGCTTTGCACAGCTCAGCAATAGGACATTAAAGAAATTACTGTCGAGAAGCCCAAGTAAAAAGAGTTGCTAGAGTTGGCAATTGGCTGCTGTTTTTCTGTGCCCAGTGAGAAAAAGCTGTTGGGCACCTTCAGAAATGAGTCACTCAGCATCATTAGTTATATCTGAACAGGTCATCTATGAAAAACAGGTGACAAAAGATAGGGACAGAGCCATAAAAAGAAGGAGAAGACGGAATTTACATCTCAAATATAGCTAAAAAGTCTTTTCAGAGGTTCAGCTGCAGACAGAAGATGAGCTGCCTCTGTATCTCCAACTCAGCCTTTATGGTATCCTGTCAGTCAGGAGAAAAGAGTCTGGAACTGGTGATTATGAACAGGATGGGACAAATAATAGGGCTTGTGCTTGTCTGTGGAGTAAAAATTGAATTAAACTTCCTCAGCATTTTAAAGTTGTATCACAGCACAGTGTATTGGGCTGTTCAAATACTAAGTTACTAAGGGAAGAGGATGAGAAACAAAAAGTGTCACAGTTCAAGTGAAGATGAGGGGGAGACAAGAGAGGGATGCTCCATTTTAAAATTTCAATGGAAAAAAAAAAAAAGACATTAAATCTAAATTTTATGCTGATTTTGGGGGGTTTTTGTTTGTTTTAACAACACTTCAAAAAACCCAGAAATGCTGACTATTTTAACTGGGAAATGCAACATGCTGTGTCATCAGAATAATGCAGCAGGGACCTACAGATTCTAGTTTCCTCTCTGGGCTGGTGTATAGTTTGCAGAATATCTTCTCTTTTACTGTGCAGTCATATTGCTTGAAGAGATGAAGTGTTGTGGGTTGGTTTGGAGGCTGTGGAGCCATCAGTTCACAGGAGATACTGTCCAGTGGAGGAGCTCAAGCTGTGGAACAGAAAAGAGAAATATAAATTAGTCAAAACACAAGTCCTCATGGCTTTGTAAAAGCATTCACAAATAGATTTCACATGCTTACTTTTTTACAAAATAAATAATTTATAATTTCTCTAAAAAGTAAACACTTTTGTTTAGATGCAAAAGCAATTTTCTGTTTAAAATGCAACATCCAAAGGGAATGTCTTGTCCAATATTTTTCTAAGAAGATCAAAAGAATATATTCTTCTATTTGTAGCACTGGAAACAGTAATTCAACATAATGGGTGATCTCAGTCATACCAGTCAGGTCATCCTCACTCTCTTTCACATTATTTCTCTTTTTCAAAGTCCTTTCTTTCTACAGTTTATTCTAGGAGACATCAAATCCACCTCTCTAGAAACATATAGGTATGTATGAGAAGCTTATGTACTCCATATTTTGTGAAAGTGTGAGAAAAGCCCATCTTAACTCTCTGTTACGAGCAGATATGCTGAGGCACGTGTAACCCACATGAAAAAAACGTTTACCACATACATAGGGGAGATTGATAAAAAATAATTTAATAAAAAGCTTCCAGGTGTCTCAGGTAACAAAAATAAAAGCTGGTTTTGAACAATTTCTTGCATATTAGAAGCATCTATAAGAATTGTCTAGTTTCTTTGTGTCTTTCCTAAATGACAGCAACCTGACTTTGTGGTTTCTATTTTGGCTGTATATACATTATTGATAGATGCAGGTCTGGGGATTTAATTTGCTGAGTCCTCCCACTTACAAAAGCTGTCATCCCAGCTCTACTTCATATTCTTAGGGCACATGTATTTAATTGCACTTGAAACACTGAAAATAAAATACAGGTGTCACTGCTGTAAGTAGTGTTAAAATATATGTTAAGATTGAACGAAACAGCCCAGAGGAAAGAGGTGAGAACTAAACAGCCTTGCTGAGAGCTAAACAGCCTTGACTGCACAGAGAGACTCTTAACAGAGCTCAGTGTGAGATACCTTGCGCACACCATTCAATTGGATCATATACCACTTTTATTGCAGTGTTTTATTGAATGCCTGCCTGAGCAAGGGTACCCTTTGCCACTCAGGATGCTTAGCGGTGACTGTGGGTACCCACTGTTCAGTGGGGAACACATGAAGGAGCAGCCTTGCTTGCACTGCACAAGACCTTGCATTAGGGTCCCTCTGTGCTGGAGTGGCATCTGCGTGGGTAAGCAGGGTGCAATGACATGCTGCTGAGGCTCCGGATTGGAGCTGAGCACTGGAGGTCCCCTCCAGTGCCAGGATGGCTCCTGTCACAGCAGGGTGAGCTGCCAGCTGTCGCACACATGCTGTGGTCAGAGCAATAATGCCATCTGACTTAAAATCCATGTTAGGAGGAAACTGGTCTCCTATCTGGTTTTGTTCTTATCAAAGTTCTCTTTTTATACTTTCTTGTAATTACAATAAACACCTAATCTCTTGCTCTGCTTCTGGGTTTCTTGCCAGTGGGAGAAGCTGCAGATGACGGCCAGCGAGAGGAGGAAGATCATGTGCTCTGTAACATTCCACATCATTGCCATCACCTGCGTTGTGTGGTCTCTCTATGTCCTGATAGACAGGACTGCTGAAGAGATTAAACAGGGACAGACTACTGGTATGTTACTTGGTTATCATCCCACTTACTCTCTTTAAATAATTATTTGTCCTGAATGCAGAGAGGATGCAGAGCATGAGTGTGCAGGTAATGTTTGTACTTAGACTAGTCAGCTTTAGCCTGTGGTTGGGTTGTTTTAAAAGCACAGTTCTAAAATGATTTTGTTAAATCAGTGTAAATTCATCTGTGGGTGCTTTTAAAGTCTATTTCAAGTCAATTTAGTTTGCACTTGTGAAATGCACAGATATGAGAGCTAATCCACTGTAGCCAGACACAAAATTGCACTGCCTTACCTAATTTAGTTTTGAATTGGAACACTTCCTGAGCAGATAAGGATGTAAGCGTTTGCTTGCTGCTGTGACTACCTTTTAACTGGGCAAAACCAGAAGAGTTTTAAAAAGAGAAGAAGTAAAAGGAAAGTAAATCCAAATCTTTGAGGTAAATCAACAGGGTTTTATTTCTATTTTGTCATCTCTGAGGTGGATGAGCACAGGTTTCCTGGGAGAGCCATGTCAGATTGGAGAAATTTTTATGAGTGGTTATGCCTGAAGCAGAAGAAATTCAGGTTGATTCTTAGGACTCCAATTCACTCAACTGAGATGAGGTGCACTGCAATTCATGTGGTAGCTGCCACCCCACTGCAGGGATGTCTTAACTTCTTGAATAGTAGGTTTTCTTTAGTGTGCCAGCTGTAAAGTTACCAAACTGAAATCTGTTTACCCAGGTGTGCTGGGCTGCAAATTTGCAACTGTCACAGAACTGTTTCTCAGGCAGCTGAGCTGTCCCTGAAGGTGGGGATAGAAGGAACAGGGTATCTACCATGGCTGGGAGCCATTAGAAGGCAAGCTGTCCTTGCTCACAGAGCATTGCGTGACAACTAGATGTGCAGATGGAAAATGTTTTGCTGGTGATTGGAGAGTGTCATCTGGGGAGTTAGCTGAGCATCGATAGACCTGCAAATCCACAGAGCTGTTACAGTCTCTTCAGAGCAGTTTTGCTGTCAATTGTCATTTGGCCTGTAGTTTGGTTGCTCATGACTTCAGTCAGGAAGCTGCTTCGAATAAGATCTGTTCCATCCAACCCCATCTCTTCCATGTACAGTGAGAATTGTTTGCCTTTCAATGTAAAGTTTCCATATGATAATGAAAAACATATGCTTTAAAAGATTTACCATCTCCAGGTTATCTTAGCCAATATATATATTAGGTGAAGATGAATAGGAGGAATAGCATGAATATTTAGTACATGTTATAGTGCCTTCTTTGCTCCCTTCATTTGTATTCTAAATTTGGGGAGTGCTGTACTGAGCTGCAGGGTGCAGGGAGCATGTGTGGGTATACATTCATGTCTGCACAGGGGCAAGCATATACTGTCACTGCCTACAGATGGCATCAGATAGCTCACCTGTGAATTAGAGGTTCAGGTATTAATTAATCATGGGTGGGATTTCATCAGTAGTCATGCTGCAGTGCCCTTTTTATTTTGGGACTAAAATATTTTTATTCCTCCCATGCTACCATGCATTTCCAAAAGAACACTGGCCTGTATCTTGGCAAAACCTTGAAGACTTGGAAGGCCATGATTTATTCTCTGAGAAACCTGATCATGGGTGATTCAGTATGGTTTCATATTCATCTTGTGTTGCCACATATCTTTAAAGAGGAGAGAGTCTGGGTGGATACAGGACCTATGTAAGCACAAGATGTATAAAATGAATAGTCTCTAATTTAAAAATAGTTGATAGCGATGTAACAAGATCCAATGTCTAAAAGTTCAAGCTGGACAAATCCAGGAAAAGTAATGGTGGTCATTTTTAATGACGTAGGGTAAGCTTGCCAGAATGCTTCAGCATTTCCAGCACTTGCAGTTTTGCATCACAAGAGATGCTTTAGTTCAACTACAGGTTGCTGGGTCTGATGCAGATAAAATTGTCTGGTCTGCAAAATGAACACGTCAAGCTAGACAGGAACAATTGTTCCCTTTTGAGTTTAAAGACTCCATGTACTGTGTGATCACCACAGAGTGGAACAGACTTCTTGGGTCACCGAATTGAGTCTCCTGCTATGAAGAGGAAACCATACCATAGAATCCCTTTCATAATCTGACCCAATTTTTGTTTAAAAACAGGTGTAAAAGGACCTAAATGTATTACTAGCTATTGTCTTGACTCTGTGAATGTGCTCCACAAGAGCTCATACACAGAGAATCAGATGTTTTGTTTTTCCTCTGGTGGGTGAGTATAAATATGATACATGAAGTAGACGTCTGCATGTGTTTGACTTGACAGGGGAAAAAGAAAAACAAGAAAAGTGCCAAAAAAGAGTAGTTTGAGTGACCCAACCTCTGTGAGAGTTTCCTCACAGGATGTTTTTGAGAGATCGATCCAGTGTAGTCCAGCCAATATTGACCCAGTCCTTTTTCTGTCTTCTTTTTTGATTTTCTTTTTTCCAGGGATTCTAGAGTGGCCATTTTGGACTAAGCTGGTGGTTGTGGCTATTGGTTTCACTGGAGGACTTCTGTTCATGTATGTACAATGCAAAGTGTACGTACAGCTATGGAAGAGACTTAAAGCATATAACCGAGTAATATATGTACAAAACTGTCCAGAAACTAGCAAAAAGAATATTTTTGAAAAACCTGCACTAATGGAGCCAAACTTTGAAAGTAAAGAAATGCTTGGGGTTCACCATTCAGACACAAACTATTCACATTACACAGAGCCAGAAGACTGTGCTGCAGAAATCCTTCACGTCTGATTGCTTTGTGGGTAGGGTGTTTCTGTATGTCCTTGAAGATTTAAAATATCATTGTTTACTGCAAACTGCTCTACCTTTTTAAAATCAGCTAACAGCTGAGGGCTGGTGGGTTAATTTTTTTACATTTGTTTTTTGTTTGAATTTTTTAAAATCCCTTTGGCATATCTGTCAATGTCATGATGGTTTCATACATCTCAACGTTTTGTCTCTCGTGCCGGCTGATTGAAGAGCCACAGGATACTGGGAAGAGTGAGCCTTGGGTTTGGTATCAAGCAAGCTGCTAGTGTACTGTCATCAACTTCATGGAGCCTGTTACTTTAGGAGAAGACTCTAAATTATTCTGGAATATGTATAGAGTGGGGTTTGTTTGTTTGTTTGTTCTTTAAGTGTGATGAAGGAGGTTATCCCAGGCATTGAGGGAAATGGGAGAGCTAGAGTCTAGTCTACCACTAACACTGCCACTAACATTTTGTCTTAGGCAGCAAGTGTAAAATTTTGCTTTACATATTGTGATGAGACTTAAAAAGCATATAGCACTTTTAAAAATCTTTATTTTGTAATATGTATGTCAAATGAGAATGAAACTTGAAAGAATGTGTCATTTTCAAAACATTTCTTCATTCTTTACCCCATTTATTCTTCTGAAAAGTAAACCTCTTGCCTTATAAAAAAAAAAAAAGATTCAGAGAAATTCCAGCCTGTGATTTCCAACACATGCCGATATCATTTTACTAAACATAACACTGAAAAACCCTGCCTCTTTGGGTTTCCTTTTAGGAGCAAATTTTTGCAAAGGATATTGCACTTGTGACTTGTGTATGGGGATGTGTACAGTGTTCGTTTTCAATGCATAATGGTTTTAGTGCTCTGTTTTGGGGATTGATTTTGCTTTTTTTTCAACAGATCAGACCATCAACACACCTGCACATATATACCTGATGTAACTTCCATTCCAAACCTTTGGCAAAGGGTTTGTTGCTACACTGATGAAAATGTGAGCTGTTACTGAAAAAAAGATACTTAGTCAATACAGCTGAAAATGGTTTTCCTTCTTTAGTGCTGTGTCATGTGTGAATTACCCAAGAATTTGATGTTGCCAGAGGAGATGCTGAGATCACAATCGAGGAAGTAAATATTGCATTAAGCGGATGAGTTTCAAAATACCTGCTTGGTTCGAGTCCTGATGTGATGCATTACATGGTCAGAGAATAGTTTTGTCTGTGCTTTTGAATTTGGGGCTGGCTTTTTAGTCAGTCAGCCTCAATGAAAAGAGAGGGACAGCTTTAAAATCTGTTTGCAGGGCTTTAGACAGAGTTGCCCAGAGCCTGAGATGTGTGCTGTTACTTTGCTTTACCAATCTGCTTCACTGAACAACTGCCCAGCTTCAAGCTGTCATTTAACCAAAGTTTCTGGGTGTCTGGAGCAGAAACAAAGCCCCACAAAAAGTCAGCACATGAGGCCTGTGCATTTGAAAGCTGACTGTCTCTGCCTGAGCCCTATCTAAATCTCTGTAAAGTCAATGATAATCTTCTGGTTGATCTTAGAAGGAGTTGCCTGGACTTCTCAGTTATGTAAAAGCTTCTGTGTGTGTGTAGAGATACTGAACTAAATCCCTACATGCAGTTCAGGTTTTACTTAATATTTTCAAGTACAACTTCCATTGAACAAGTTCTTTTTTGTGATAAAAGTAGTTTCTTCAAGACTTCCCAAAGAATAACAGTAAGAGATCAGCAATTTTTTTTTCTTAAAATGTAACATTAATTTATTTCTAAGTTAATATTTCGAAAGAAGGCAGAGAAGGGACTGTGGTTAAGAGGATACACACTAGTGGTTTCTAAGAGCTATTAGAGGAGAAGAATGTGTGCGCGCGCGTGCCTCTATGTGATCTCATGCTTGAAGCTTACTGGCTGTGATCTTCATGAACAACATGGTACCTTGTTCTTAAGGTGTTTTAAAATACTCAGACCTCTAGGCAGTCCTAGCAAAGCCACGCTGGCATGAGTTTGTGTACTGTGCTAGGTGTAAGGATGCCCCATGCTTACGTGATACAGGCAGACAAACCCTGCATACCCTGCTAGTACTGGGGCAGCAGTCTTCATGACCATACATACATATGTAGACTTTGTTGCCTATGCCTGCCATAATTTAAAGTGCAATTACTTCGGCCCTTTCCTGAACTCTGCTATGGGTGATCCTCTTCTATTATGAGAACCCAGATAATACACTGTCTTGTTTTCTTTTCTATTTTGTTCTGTGAAATGATTTACTAGATAAACTCAGGTGGGTTAAATATCAGGTCTTGCACACCTTCATCATGTTCTTCTGAAATGCCCAAGTGCACAAGGCCTACATGTCTGCAAGATGCTCATGTGACAGCTCAAGATGCACAGAATCAGCTGCCAACTGATGCTATGCGTGTTCTCATCCGATCTGTGGCCAATAGGTGAAATGAAAATGGACAAGTTCTGCTATGAAACCTGCTTTTCTCCAGCTCACACCTGAGAGGCATTGGTGTCTGACCAATGTCCTGACAAATGCCAGTAAGGCATACTGTAATGTGCTGGTCCTGTTTCAATCACTGTAATATGTGATTCTTGGTGAAATGTGATATCTCATTTCGTGTTTTGGAAGCTCCATGTGGCACATACCAGTTAATGTTCAGTGTATTCAGGATGTGCTGTGCCCTGTGTATCTTAATGTAGGAAGAAAAATAATCTCTAGCAAATTGATCTGGGGAAAAATATTTGCAGATTAAACTGTTTTAGCCAGTGTTGCTGCTAACCATTCCATCTCCCAGCAGGTCTTTTCGGAATGAAAGTTAAGGCTTAATATTTAAACTCTTGATACTGCTTAGGAATGCTCATACCGGGAAGGGCTGCAGAAGAGAACCATCTCTCAGGGGAGTTCATTTATTCTGGTCACACTTCATATGCTGATTCTTGCTTGGTGTTAACAGTGACCTTCTGGAGCTGCAGTTCTTCTGTTTCTGCATGGTGCCATCAAATGGTGCGAGAAGGCTTAATGGTGCTTTTTCCTTCTTTTTTCTCAAGGGGATTCTGTTGACTTGTTTTCAGCTTCCAGCTGTGAGGCACTGATGCTAGCTCAGGTGACCTTGTCCTTCTTGTCAGTAAGGGGAACAAGCACCCCCCATCAGGTCAGGCTTTCCAGCACTTTCTTCTGGCAGCTTCTGAAATGACTGAAATAGAAGTCAGAATTTTTTTTAGTCCTTGTTCCTTGGCCAAAGTTAGTTTGGGTTACCTGGGACTTTTCTGAGTCCAGAATTTAAGTAGGAGAGAATATAGGCTTAATACCATCTACCACAACCCCTTCCCTGGATTGCCAGAGCCTTTGCTGATATGCCCCATGCTCTAGACATCTGACCAGACACCCATTCTATTGACTTAAATCCTGTCCAAAAAACCATCGGCTGTGCCAAGGAAATTTTCCTGCCATGTCATATTTGGTATATCTGCCAGGTCATGAACATGCATTATGTTAGAAATAACAGGAGTGTGCTGCAGATGGTTGATCCCCTTTAAGAGATCATGAGGTGTTAAATTCCTATGAATTCTCAGGACTTTCTTCAACTGTAACCCTGTATTTTGGGAGTGGGGGTGGTGTTTAAAATGTTGCCCTGTGTTCTAGAGAGATGGCCAGACCTGCAGCAGCTTCTTCTTCCTGAATGTTATTGAGATTGGTTTT